GAGAACCGCAAGAAACCGTGACGAGGGGCAGACTCTGAAACGTCCTCTGTTGCCAAGCAACCACATCCAACACCTACACATTTTTGCCAGTTTCCCCTTGGCTGTGGACCTTCTAGTGCAGTGATGGCGAACCTTTTAGAGACCGAGTGCCCAAAAACTGGCCCCACCCCCTGCCCCAACCCCTGCCCTGCCCCCACTCCGCTCCACTCTGCCTCCCCGCAGGGCCACTCACTGCCTCCAGGGCCCGCCGCAGATCGCCCAGGCAGCCCAGCAGCGCTATGGCAGCCACGCCCTTTGCCCGCACCCCACAGCATCAAGTGTGCGTGTTGGGGCGTGAGGGCAGAGTCTTGTCTATGCTGCCTGGTTGCCATGTCCTTGGCTGCGCTTCTTCGCGTGGGCCACGCTCGGGGGCGACTCTCCTCCAGGGAGGCTGCTAGTGAGGAGGGGGTCGTGGGCGGAGGCAAGGCTGGGGCAATGGCACGTGTGCCCACAGAGAGGGCTCTGAGTGCCGCCTCTGGCACCCATGCCATAGGTTCGCCACCACTATTATATACCACTGAATAAGAGGCACTGGACGCAAACAAATAAAAATGGCCTCTGCCATCATGTTCCAGCTGTGTGGAAAGCAGTGGAGTTGGCCAATTTACAATGATTTTTGTCCAGCCTCCTTTAAAGCTGGTTAAAACAGAGGTTATCACCATGTCTGATGGCACCGAGTTTCACAAATGAATGTACGGGGAGTCCTCAACTTTTCATTTAGTGACCATTCAAAGTTACAACGGCTCTTAAAAAAGTGACTTATGATCGTTTTTCACCCTTATGGCCATGGCAGCATCCCCATGGGTCACATGGTCAGAATTCAGATGCTTGGCAACTGGTTCGTAATTATGACGGTCGCCGTGTCCCAGGGTCGTGTGATCCCCTTTTGCGACCTTCAGACAAGCAAAGTCAATGAGGAATCCAGATTCACTTAACAGTCGTGTTACTAACTTGACAACTGCAGTGATTCACTTAGCAACTATGGCAAGAAAAATTGTAAAATGGGGCAAAACTCACTTAACAAATGTCGAAATTTGCTTTTGTGATCAATTGTGGTCGTAAGTTGATTCTGTGTATTGCATAAAGAAGCCTTTGCTTTTATCAGCCTGAAATCTCTCCGAATTTAATTTCAGACACATAACTTAATACGGTAGTCCTTGACTTGCAACCATTCATTTAGTAACTGTTCAAAGTTACAGCAACACTGAAAAAAGCGATTTACAACTGGTCCTCCTACTTATGCCCGTCGCAGTATCCCCACAGTCACATGATCGCCATTTGCGATCTTCCCAGCCAGCTTCCAATAAGCAAGATCAATGGGAGAAGCTGGATTCAATTAAGGGCCACATGATTCATTAAACATCTGCAGTGATTTGCTTAACAACAACAAAAAGTTGTAAAATCGGGTGTGACTCACTTAACGACTGCCTTGCTTAGCAACTGAAATTCTGGTCCGAATTGTGGTTGCAAGTCAAGGTCTACCTCCAGTTATCATTAATATTTGGTGGGTAGTTTCATTATTTAAAAAAATCTGTTTATTAAAAATAGCAAAGAGTTCATCATAGCTTGTGTGCTGTTGTTTTTAAAATCTCCTTGTAGGTGATGAACATCCGGAAATTCCTGAATAGAATTGAGAAACCTCATGGGCTTTATCCAAACTTTCTCAGTCCAGTCACAGGGAACTGGGTACAGCGTGAGTATTCAGACTCTCTTGGCTGAACCAAAGTTATGTTTATCAATGCATGTCAGACTTCTAGTGTGACTCCTGAATAAGGGAAAGATTAGTACCAAATTCTATGCTTTATTAATGCTGTGTCATGGTTCATCGAAAGATGAAACTCTTCAAAGAACTTTGAGGCATTGTTTACCTTAAAGAATCTTTAATCGAGCAACATAGTTTCGGTAGGTACATAGTTGAAGCCAAAATCTGACTTCCCCTCCCTTCAGCACATAGATCAAAGCACAATTCCCTCCTACAATTAACAGTCATAAATCACATTCTCCAATTAGTTTGAAATGCTGGCTTCCCACCCAGTTTCCTCTCCCGCCATTCTTTATCAGCTCTTGTTACTATATTGTATGTCTAACTAATTCCCATCAGGCATTCCTCCCCCTCCCCCCAGCATCATCTAACTCTAAGAGTAAAACAGCAGAAAGAAAAAGGCTGCATCTCCATCATTGTCAAAGCAAGAACATCCAATGTTAGCAGCGTTGACATGCTGATTGAGACACTCCTTATGCAAGCCGTCTCAAACCAAGTCCTTTGAACAGGTGTGAGACAGGCATCTCTGCTGTCTTTTTTGCCAAGTATCTCTTAATACACAAGATCACAAAAAACCAATCAGGAGGATAGGCAAATGTCAACAAATATCCATCTTCCTATTAGGAGAGAGGGATGTTTCCTCCCCCCACTTTTTGTTTTGAGAATTCAGAACTGCAGTTGCAAGCATGGATTAGAAATCCTACAGAGGAGTGGGCAGAAGGAACCTAGAAGGATAACAGCTGGGACTCCCAATCATGCAGTATCCAAACTGGTGGAGGTGGAAAAGGGAGATTTCCTATAGGAGCGCTTTCCTGGAAGTGAAGCAGAATGTAATTTTGAAAAAGAAAAGAACAGCTGGAGCTTGAGACCCAGCACAGGTTTACACTTGAAACCACCAAACTTAAACAGTAGAGCAGTGTTTCTCATCCTTGGCAGCTTGAAGGTGGATGGACTTCAACTCCCAGAATTCCCCAGCCGGCACAGCTTGGCATAAGGAGATGCACAGGCCTTTAAGCAGGAGGTTCAGCTTGTTTGGCATCCAACAAGACTTCTGGAAAGTCTGCGAGATTAAAGATTGAAAAATGTGCTTCCTCCAATACTGGAAATAATACAGGGCTCGTGAATAGCCTTTGCATTAGAGTTTTCAGTTCTCAGAGAATTCCAGCTTATCAGAATTCAGAGGAGGACAACAAGGAGGTTAGAGCAGTGGTTCTCAACCTTTTTAATGCCGCGACCCCCAACCGGTCGTAAGTCGAGGACTAAACCGGTCATAAGTCGAGGACTTTCCCTGCCCGGGAGCGCCGCACATACATGGTTCCACCCCCTGCGCCGGCCGAGGCATAGCTGGCAAGTGGCAGAGACGGAGCAGGCCGACCACCAGCTGGCCCAGCCCAAGGGAGGTAAGGCACCCGCCGGAAAAGGGGAAAAAATGGCGGACAGCCTTGCTTGGCGACCCGCGTGAAATGGTCGATCGACCCCAAATGGGGTCACGACCCATAGGTTGAGAACCGCTGGGGTAGAGGAATGAATCCACAAGGATGGATCCTATGGCAGACATGTCAAACTCGCGACGTCGCAAGACGTATTGGAACTTTTCCCCTATTGCCAGCAATGGGGTGGGTGCGGTTTCCTCGTGACATGTCTGGCCCGCGGGCTGGCAGTTTGACACCCCTGTCCTATGAGGCCAGACTGAAGGAACTTTGGCAGTTTCAGTCTGGAGGAAAGAAGATTTAGGGGAGACAGGACTTTTATTATTTATTTCTTCTTCTTCTTCTTGTGCCATATCCGTTATCAGACATTGGCGATCATGTTGGCAATCCTTTTTTTATCAGCAGCCGCACGAAAAAGTGCTGCTGAGTTTTGTCCAACATTTTGTTAACATTTATTTTATTACAAATTGTTAAAAAAATACACCGAAGCGCAAAAAAGGAGCTACAAAAACAAAATACAGAAGCAAACTGTAAACAAACAAAAAGGAAGAACAAAAGGCCATAATGAGCAAAACCCCCAAAATTATGAACCATCTAGGCATGCCGGTTGTATATCAAGAATTAAACAATGTAAGGAAATGTCAAATTCAGAGGGGAAAAAACCTCTTTTCTCGCAAAACATCACGAACCTGTGCCAAAGAAAAACATATGGCATCATTTTTGATAATTAGTGGGGGGGGAAGTATTTGCAAAAGTGAATAAATTACACCTGCTTTGAATCCAGCCATTAATGTCCAGGATAAGAGTGCGTTTCCAATTGCATCAAATAGCTTACTTAGTACAGGTAGTCCTCAAATTATGACCCCAACTGAGCCCAACATTTATGTTGCTCAGTGAGAAATTTGTTAAGTGAGTTTTGCCCCATTTTACGTCTGTTCTTGCCACAGTTCTTAGGCGAATTACTGCAGTTGTTAAATTAGTAACATGGTTGTTAACTGAATCTGTTTGTCAGAAGGTTGCAAAAGATGATCACAAGATCCCAGGTCACTGCAACTGTCATAAATGTGAGTTAGTTATCAAGCATCCGAATGTAAATCTCGTGACCATGGGGATGCTGCAACGGTCATATGTGAAAAATGGTCATAAGTCACTGTTTTCAGTACGGTTGTAATCTCAAACAGTCACTAAGTGAACCACTGTAAGGTGAGGACTACCTGTAATTTCCGAGATAACCAAATTACGAGTAGACAGCTGTACTAAAGTAAATTAAGAGAAGCTACAGGGAAAATGGGCAGGGATTTCTTCTTTTTTTTAAAACAAATTTTATTGGTTTTTTAACTTTTACAACAGAATGCTCAAGACACACCGTGGTGGTTAGGTGATCAATCATCCAAAAACAAAATCATATAATAGCTCAAGTAAATACATTAAATGTTCCCTCTCTATTTCCCTCAAATAATATAACCTATTTAACACAATCCATTTCTACATTACATATCTATAAAGCCTAATCCTGTTTTGAGCTTTATTAATTTACAATTACCATAGTCCAATTTAATCTTAGATAAATGTATTATCACTTCGGGTATCCCTTCTAAAATACTAATCCAGCTATATTCTAATTCATAATCTCATAAATCATTGATTTTATCACAGATCTCTCTTATTACTTCAAATAGCATTTAAATCTCATTCAAATAATTATCATATCTAAAAAAAAAAAGAACACACTTATTATTACACAAAACATCGTCTTGCTAACTTAACACACTCAATTAGTTGTTAAAACTATCCGAATTTCTAAAAGCCTCTTTCATATTCTTATTCTCATTCCATTACCAAATAATTTTCATACAAATAAACATATTATTCAAAAAAATACATTCTTACTCTGTTTAACATATATATTCTAATAATCACAAATTTTCAACTCTAAATCTTAATCCTTAAATCAATCCATATTTCTCAAAACCTTTTTAATCCATTACATATAATTTTAAATTTCTCTTTTTAGTCTTATTCTGGCTTTCTTCCTATGGGTAGGGATTTCTGAGATATCCTTGGTCATAGGACTGGGCATATCCATGTTCACCTTAAGCTTTCCGTCAATCCATCCTACAATATACTGTACTATACAGTGGTACCTTGGTACTCATCATTAATTGATTCCAGGAGGCACGAGGAGTACCACTTTTTTTTCCCCATGAGGAATCATGTAATGAGCCACAAGGCAGCTGACACTGACAAGTTCTAGCTTGTGCATTGAGTACCAAGCAAACAATGAGTACTGGAGGGAAATGTTCGTGTCAAAATGCGTGGAGTACCAAATTCGATGTGTTTCAAAACAGTTGAGAACCAAGGTACCACTTTATTGCAATATGCAATCCAGTCAAGCTTTGTCGGCTTTCCTATACCATTATACAAGGTTTCCTAACCTTGGTGACTTTAATACCTGTGGACATCAACGCCCAGAATTCCCCAGCCAGCATGGCTGGCTGGGGAATTCTGGGCGTTGAAGTCCACACGTTTTAAAGTTGCCAAGATTGGGAAACCCTGCATTACAGGCTTACACCAATCAGTCACAAAGATACCAGCGAATTTGAAAACATGCTAGAAACATGCTAATCTCTGTTTCAGCTGGAAATCCCACAGGGTAACAGTAGATGAGGGGGTATACATTGGCATCCTGGGTTAGATGGCATAGAAAATAAATTTCCCCGGGTGCTTACTCTCTCTCTCTCTTGCTCTCTCATCGCTTTTTTTTTTTCTGGGAGGGGGGAAGATGACTCGGATGCCCTTGGATACCCTGGAGCGTTGATGCTGAGATGTAAACATAAAATCCCCCCCTTCCCCCAGCATGCTATTCCCATTATAAATCTGTCCAGTTTATTTTTTTTTCCCCAGGCAGATTTTCCCTAAGCACGCAGCTTCTGCAGCAAGGCAGTCTGAAGCCGTGGAAAAGCCCTCCGTTATTCTGGAGACATTTTCACACCTGGCGTGATGCCTTCTCTTCCTCCCCTCCTTCAACCTGCTCTTTCAAATGTCTCTAATATTCATTCCAGGCGTCGAATCACAGCTACAAAATGTAGATGAACTCTCCAGATGTGCTGCCATTGGCGTGGCTGAGATTCCTGGCTTGCAAATGTCTGAACTTGCAACGCAATCGTGTCTCTTAGTATTTTATGCTGTTTTGACACTTGACTCTAAGGTTCTCTTCCCTTATCCCTTGACAAGGGAGGATGTGCCTGACAGAGAAAGACAATAATTGATAAGGCTGTGTATTTATTTCCATTCAAAGGAAGTGCAAAATGTGCCGAGAACAAAAACCCAGCTTCCCGAACAACTTTGTTTCTTTCTTTGTTTATTTATCAACCAAGTTTTTAGCCCTCAAGGTGATTTTAAGAACCCAAAGGGATCGCGGAATTCTCAAACTGCAGGGGGGAAAAAGTGTATTGTAGTACTTTATATTTTCAGTGCCAAACTTTAGCACTCCCACAGTGACAGTACCTTGCACCTCGTAGAAGGAGATCTGGGCCCAGGTCTTAATTGGTCATTCGCTTTTTTACTCAATTCAAGTGAAGTTGCCAGACAAAGATACAGCAAAATTATTCAATCTTGACTCCTTTAAGAAGACACTAGGGCAGGGGTAGGCAACCTTGGCTCTTTTATGACTCGTGGACTTCAACTCCCAGAATTCCCGAGCCAGCTATGCTGGCTCAGGAATTCTGAGAGTTGAAGTCCACGAGTTATAAAAGAGCCAAGATTGCCTACCCCTGCACTAGGGGGAGGCAGTTCTGTCTGATGGGTTTTTTAAATTATTATTTTGCTGTCCCTGTCTTTCCTTAACCCCTTTGAAGGAATTTGGGCATTAGAAAATACAAAGAAGCAGGCTAACTTTCAAATTGTTTGTGCTCCTGTGCACATTTCTTACTAAAGAGGCCGTTCTCCAGTTGGTTAAAAAACAACATGTATAAAAACAGTGTTTGATTTTTCTACTCACAAGTTGTCTTCTTCTTCTTCTTCCCATCACTGTAGATCACGTCTCTGTTGGTGGCCTTGGGGACAGTTTTTATGAGTATCTGATCAAATCTTGGCTCATGTCAGATAAGCAAGATAGCGAAGCAAAAAACATGTATGATAAAGCCCTCGAGGTAAGGCAGAGAATGAAGTATAATTCTTTTTGCACTTGATCAGCAGCAAGTACTTTATGAGAAACCACACAGGGGATTGAGATGGATGGCCCAGATTCAGATCTTAACCTTAGCACAGAATCACTGGGCAGACACAGGCCCCCCAATCATCCTTCCAACATTAAGTTGGGTTTGGGCACTGTGATTCAGAAACAGGGTTTCTTCTAAATGGGTTTCTCATTCCAGGTTTTCCATCTCTACAGAGCCATCAGAGGAAAATTAAAAGCTTGTGGTTCCAGTTTCCAGCTCATTATTGAGTCCAAATCCTAAACAGTAGTTAGTTTTAACCGTGGTTTGTTTATTTATTCAATTACTGTAGCCACCCATCTCAATCAATCTGAGCTGCTTACAATTCCAAAAGTATAAAAATGATTAAAACAAAATAAATATACACAGCAGCCAAGATAAGTAGCCAGCTATTATATTTATTTATTTGTTGATACAAGCAGACTGCACAACACGTGAAATTTTAAAGAGTTTGTTTCATAATTAAGGTTAAGAATGGTTTGTTGGCTTCATGAAACACGGCAAATTGCAGAATCAAAACCATTTCAAATCGCTTCTTCAGCTCTGGAGCTCTTTTGCTTCTCTTGTGAAACAGCCTGTTTCAAGGGCAAAGTCTATGAAACATTTCAAGCATTTTTGTAAAAGGCTTTTGTTTGGAAAAGAAAAACATAAGAGATCTTTTGAGTTCCAACTTCTGCTAGGATGCTCTACTCAGGGTGTTTTGAATTCAGATAGAGAAGCTGTATACACTGCTAAACAAAACTGGGCTTAAACAACGTGTGTCCAGTTTGTGGCCCACAGGCCGCATGTAGCCCTGGACAGCTAATAATGTGGCCCCACAAGATCATAAACGTTTTAACATTATTATGTGATTTGTATACATTAACTATATTATATATTTTATCTGCATCCCAAGACAATTCCTGTTCACTCAGTGTGGCCAAGGCAAGCCAGAAGATTAGCCAACCAAGGCTTAAAGATTCAGACTCTTCTTTATGAGCGTGCTAGATAGGAAAATATGCAAGTCAGAATATCCCGTATTCCTTCTTCATTGCCATAAAAGATGATTTAATGTGCTCTCCAAACCAGCTTTAACAGCAGTGAGAATGGTGCTAGTGTACTGTAGTTCTACAATTTCTGAACAGTTTATTTTGAACTGGAGAAAAGCCCCAGTGAACTGGATTTGGGGCTAGAGCATGGCTTTTCAACCAGTGGGACGGGTACCACCTGTGGTACATTGGCACCTGGCAGGTGGTACGCGACCATCCTAGAAAAGTGGTAGCGGGGGAGGGGAATGAGCTGAACCGGTGGCAGCACCACACAAGCCTGAGCGAGAGATGGCTGGAGCTGCAGGGCTGTCAGGGTTCAGCGGAAGCGCCAGGATCAGTGCCACTTTCCAGCTGATCGGCGCTTCTTCGGGGCTGTCAGGGCTCAGTGGAAGCGCCAGGATCAGCGCCAGGCTCCGGCTGGAGCTCGGTGCTGATCCTGGTGGTTCTGCTGGGCCCTGAAGAAGCACCAATCAGCTGGAAAGCAGCACTGATCCTGGCACTTCTGCTGAGCCCAGAAGAAGCGCCGATCAGCCGGAATGTTGCAGCATCTCCAGGGTCTTGTGATTTACATTCAGATGCTTGGCAACTGATTCATATTTATGACGGTCACAGTGTCCCAGGGTCATGTGAAGTGACCAAAACCTGCTGCAACCACCCAACAGATGGGGGGAATAAAAATCAAACACCCCCCCACCCCACCCCCGCTGCCAATCCTCAACAGGAATGCTCACAACAATGAAAACCTCGGACAGGAGGAAGAGTGCAGCTGGGTGGGCAGGTGTCTTGCTCGGCTGTGGCTTGGGGGGCACTTTTTTCAGTGCCATTGTAACTTCAAACAGTCACTAAGTGAACTGTTGTAAGTCGAGGACTACCTGTACTTTTTTTTGGTCAAGTTTTTGATCCTTTGCTAGGCGACTGGTGGTACTCGGATGTTGCCATATCCTAAAAGTGGTACAATGGGTGAAAAGGTTGAAAAGCCCTGGACTAGAGTATATAATATGGCCATCACAGAAGCACCTGTCCCTGAAGGAGTTCTGCATTTCTATTGGTGTTTTTTTTAGTTCAGTTTTGGTTGAATCATGGACCTTTGCAGAATGAGAGGAAAGGGCAAAGGATGTCTCAGTGCATGATTATCTCATCGCACAAATGAGGCAATTATCTAAACTGCGTCATCTCTTGTTCACGGACACCTTAAAGGTTGAGTCATCCCATAAAATTAAAGATGAATCGCTCAACAAGTAAACATGTTCACTTCAATAAAAAAGGCAGCGAGGATAAATGCAGTTCCTCCTAACTTTGGCCTGTTGAATTGAACATCTGCACTGCAAATTTTGGAGCTGGACTCCAGCTGTGACACACACACACAAAAGCCTGCAGCGCTTGAAAATCCTGGAAGCAGTAACTTTAGCGAGAGAAATTAAAAGATCATTGTACTTTCCACCGCTGTGAAGAATATCGGAAGCTACTTCTTTATAGCTTTGTAGTTTTCTTTCCTTGCACTTTTTGTTTTCTCTTGCTTTCTTTTTCTTTTTCTCTTAATTTTATATGAGTGTATTTTAGTGTTTATGTTTTACTGACAGTCTCCATCCTCTTTTTTTTTAATGGAATTCCTATGATTTTCCATTCATAGCAATGAATGATAAGGGAATGTAGAGAATCGTAGAATGGAAAGGTTGGAAATTGATGGTCTAGCCCAGGGGTCTGCAACTTTGACAACTTTAAGACTTGTGGACTTCAGCTCCCAGAATTCCTCAGCCAGCATAGCTGAAGTCTATAAGTCTTAAAGTTGTCAAGGTTGCAGACCCCTGGTCTAGCCCCATCTCCTTCCCAGGGTAAGACCCCAACTGAGACAGCATCCCTCAGCAATGGCCATCCAGCAAAGGCCAGTTCATTGCTCCCAAGGCAGCCAGTTCCATTGTTGAAAAATTCTTGCTATTAAATTCTTCGTTCCTGGAACAACTCTGAACAAGGTTGCTTCTACATAAAAAATCCATAATGTACAACTGTGTACTGTGTACTGTGTACTGTGTAATGTACTGTGTTTCCTCCATCTTCCATACCAGGGTTTTTCAACCTTTTCACCATTGTACCACTTTTAGGATATGGCAATATCCGAGTACCACCAGTCGCCTAGCAAGATGTCAAAAACTTGATGACAAAAAAAAAAAAAGGAAAAAAGTGATAAAGTACAGGTAGTCCTTGACTTACAACAGTTCCCTTAGTGACTGTTCGAAGTTACAATGGCACTGAAAAAAGTGCCCCCCAAGTCACAGCCAAGCAAGACACCTGCCTGCCCGCCCGGCCGTACTCTTCCTCCTGTCTGAGGTTTTCATTGTTGTGAGCATTTCTGTTGAGGATTGGCAACGGGGGTGGGGTGGGTGTTTGGTTTTTATTCCCCCCATCTGTTGGGTGGTTGCAGCAGGTTTTGGTCACTTCACATGACCCTGGGACACTGTGACTGTCATAAATATGAATCAATTGCCAAGCATCTGAATGTAAATCACAAGACCCTGGAGATGCTGCAACATTCCAGCTGATCGATGCTTCTTCTGGACTCAGCAGAAGCACCAGGATCAGTGCTGCTTTCCAGCTGATTGGTGCTTCTTCAGGGCTCAGCAGAAGCACCAGGATCAGCGCCGAGCTCCAGCCGGAGCCTGGCACTGATCTTGGCGCTTCCACTGAGACCTGACAGCCCCGAAGAAGCGCCGATCAGCTGGAAAGCGACACTGATCCTGGTGCTTCCGCTGAGCCCTGACAGCCCTGCAGCTCCAGCCATCTCTCGCTCAGGCTTGTGCGGTGCTGCCACAAGTTCAGCTCATTCCCCTCCCCTGCTACCACTTTTCTAGGATGGTCACGTACCACCTGCCAGGTGCCAATGTACCACAGGTGGTACCCGTACCACTGGTTGAAAAGCCCTGGTCTATACTCTAAGCAACAGATGCTCACTGGCTCCAATGGTGACTCCAGTCACCCTTTGCAATCTTTTCTACTGGCTATTGACCAGAAAAGTCAATGGGGAAACCAGTAGGAAATAGCAAGTCATTTTCAAAAAGCCACACAGCCCTCGCTTAATCACAGCAGCAAGCACTGCTGGAACTGTTGTTGCTAATGTGATATGATATCACACATAGCAGAGTTTTCGGTCACAATTGTGAATGTTAAGTGAGGACTACCTGTACTTAAAAAAGAGCAACTAGTCCAGTATAAGGCCACCTGGGTATTCATTGGTTCTTGCTACTGGAACCATATAACGCTGATCCTTCAAGCCCTATCTTGGTTGCTGATTGGTTTCTGGATGCAATTTATGGTGCTGGTGTTGAGGTACAAAGCTCTTTGATACAGAGAGTAAATGGCCACCAAAATGGCCGCCTCCTTTCATACATGGGGTGAACCATTGGACCATTTGCATACATAGTTTTTGACACTACTACCCAGTGTATTCTTTATTATATTTATAAATCTGCCCCATCTTTCTTCATGCCACACAAATAACTCACTTTCTCTCTTTTTCCAAACGCTGTGAAATTTAGGCAATAGAAAAGCACCTGGTCAAAAAATCGCCTGGTGGGCTGACCTATATTGCCGAATGGCGAGGAGGCATCTTGGATCATAAAATGGGGCACTTGGCTTGCTTTTCTGGTGGCATGATCGGCCTTGGAGCAGAAGACACCACAGAAGAACAGCACTATTTGGATCTAGCTGGGGAAATAACGCACACTTGTCACGAATCTTACATTCGCTCAGGTAAAAATCAAAAAACCAAGCCCATCTTCGAAAAAGGCTCTGTACGCTCTTGTTCACCGATTAATATTGTACACGGGTAACATCCATTAACTTCCCAGTCCTCACTTCATCCTCAACTGTTGCTATTAGCAATCTACTTCCAGTTGCCCAGCTGAAGTCACAAATGTATTATAACCCATTATTTGTTAGTCTCCATGTTCTGCCAGAGCTGGAAAGAACCTCCAGCAGAAAAGACTGCATTTGATCTAGTGTTGGGCACAAAACAATCAAGACCACTCATGAATCGTCTCAAGCAGAAGCTTTATTGTTAGTCACCCGTGTTACAAGAATCTCACCTGACTGACTGTGTTCCTTTGGGAATGGTCAGATAAAGCTTCATGGGTTGTGGGGGCAGCCAGTCCCATGCCACTTTCTGCTGGACTGTAGCCCGGGCCTCTCTTAACATTTCCTTGAGCTTCTATCACATGTAGATTCATTATATTTTCCCTCTTCTAATGTCTAAACTGAGGATCTGCCTACTTATTTCAGTTTAGCTTGATAATGACGGTGTTTGCTTCTCCAAGTCAGGCCCTCATAATGGAAATTTAGCAGGCACCTAAGGCTTAGAATCAATTCACTTTTTCACTGGCAAGAGATCTGAAAAATGTTTCTACTTCACAGTGAAAGTATTCGTAATATACTACTTGTTTAGTGAATTCACACATTCACCCCAAATTTTAACTAATCCTGCGGCTATCAAGGCATCTTCTGACCATTCTCTCTTTTTTGTGGCTAGAGACCAACCTGGGCCCTGAAGCATTTCGTTTTGATTTTGGAACAGAAGCAATGGCCACACGACTCAGTGATCGTTATTACATCCTGCGCCCCGAGGTTGTAGAGAGCTACTTCTACTTGTGGAGGTTGACACATGACCCCAAGTACAGGCAGTGGGGTTGGGAAGCTGTCCAAGTAAGTCTCTTTGACTAATGTCTAAATCAGGGGTAGTCAACCTTGGCTCTTTTATGACTCGTGGACTTCAACTCCCAGAATTCCTGAGCCAGCATAGCTGGCTCAGGAATTCTGGGAGTTGAAGTCCACGAGTCATAAAAGAGCCAAGGTTGACTACCCCTGGTCTAAATGTTGCTTTGAAGGTGGTGTCAGAGATCACATTTGATTCCATCTCAAGTTCAGCTGGGGCTCTGTTGTTAGACTGTGCTGAGTGCGTTAATTGGCCTTCATCTGATCCCGACATCCATGTTTTAGTCATTTAGTCCTTACGACAATCTGGTTGAGATGCCCAAAAAAGGCGAAGAGTCATTTGGAGCTGGGCAGTCCCCAAATCAAATCAATAAATAAACTTCTACCGCTGGCTCAGAGCATCCTGTCTTTTATACTGCAGTCCTGAATGGCACCCTTCAGTTTGTGGCACATGACAGCCACAACATCTGATCTCTTTATGGAGCCTAAGAGAACCCCTGTTGGATTTAACTAAAAGCTTCCCTAGGACAGGACCTTGGTTCCAGTAGCACCCTAGTAGATGATCTTTCATGGACTTCAACCTAAAATAAAATGAGGATTTGAGGACCCATAACGGCAGAAAATTTTCAGAAAGAGGTTCTTATCTAAGATCCCCAGCAAAACGCAAGGAAGGAATCAAAACAAAGTTTCTGTCAACGCTGCAAATACTGTATATTCTTGCTTTGACAATATGCAGAACTGTCTGGTATTTATATAGTTAAATCAGGCAACAGTGAAAGCCGGGTCATCCAAGTTAATTGGAAGATGTGAACCATGACCCCAAAATAAGGGAGGGAAAAATGCTTAATATGTATGTGTAACGGAAAAGGATCAGATCTAAGCATTTTTCCACCATGCTGTACTGACGTCTCTGCAACCTTAATAAATGCTTTTAGGAAAAGATATGCCTGAAAGTCCTTTTAAGTGTTTCGTTAATCAGACACATGACAGTTTCCTTTAGCCATCAAAGTGCCTAGGGTGACTTTGGGCTAGTTTCAATCTCAGCCTATCCTACTCCAAAATACGTGTTGTTGTGGGGAAATTTATGGCAGGAAGGCTCTCCTCTCTCTTTCTGAAACAAATTACTTTGGAAGTAAAGCTAGACAGCAAGCCAGGATACCCAGTTCCAATCCCCAGGCAACTCACGTAGCAGTCATGGGAAAATGCAAACAGGAGGAAGACTATGCAGGCCGCCTGGATCAGTGCAGGATGGGTGGGAAGCCCAGCTATCTGAGGGCTCATGAGGCCGAAGCAGAGCCACCGTTGGTTCCTGCTGCTGGAGGGGCCCCCACCTCAGTGGGCCGCTATCTAGTAGGGCAGTGATGGCGAACCTTTTAGAGACCGAGTGCCCAAACTGCAACCCAAAACCCACTTATGTATTGTCAGGTGCCGGGTGGGCATGGCCCATTGGGTGGGTGTGGGCCATTGAGTGGGCGTGGCTGCGGTGGTAATGGCAGACTGAGTGGGACTAAAAAGTTCAATCAATCCCAATTTTGCGAGATCTTTTTTTTCCCCGCGAGAAGTTGAAATTGACTGATTGATTGAACCTTCTTTTTTTTTTTTTTTGCACACGGCGGCGGAGGCCTAAAGCGAAAAGGTTTTATAAAACCCAGCTGAAGGCGCGCGTGCCACCAGGGAGGGCTCTGCGTGCCATGTGTGGCACACGTGCCATAGGTTCGCCACCACGGTACTAGGGTCACCACCACCACCTCCCTCCACCCATGATGATGAACGAGCACTGCTTTGCCATTCCTAGAACTACGTTGACTTTCTTCTCTTCCTTGCTTTCCAAATCAGGCGCTGGAGAAATTTTGCAGAGTAGAAGCAGGATTCTCTGGGATCCGCGATGTGTATTCGACCACCCCAAGCCATGACAACATGCAGCAGAGTTTTTTTCTGGCAGAGACGTTAAAGTAAGTCCCGAGCATTTTCAATATTTGGCCATCGAAAAACTTTTAGAAAGGAAGATGTTTTTCATGAAGCAAGCAGTGTGGGAAATCACCGTCGCTGAACAGCATAGGAAAGACATCTTTAGGAGAAAACATACTTATTTATTGTGGTGTTGCATTCCCATGACAAAGTTCTGACAAATGGCCCAAATACCACTGGCCTTGCTGAAACACAGCTCAAAACGTTCTCCTGACTTGAGAATTCTCTCTCTTTTATATACAGCAATATATAGTAATAAAATGTACAATTGTCACAATAAAAGACTAATACCAACTTAAAAAAGAAAAAAAAAAGAAAGCAGAAGGCGCAGAAAAGAAGAAAAGAGAAAATAAAAGAATAAAGTAAAGAAAAAAAGAAATATATAAAGGAAATTACTTCCCCTCCCTTCACCACAAGTATAAACCATTTTAGTAACTTATCACTCCGTCTTTTAAAATATAGGTAGTCCTCGACTTACGACCAAAACCGGGAGTGGATTTTTCCTTGTTAAGGAAAAAGGTGCTTGTTAAGTGGCTCATGCCCAATTTTACAGGGTTTTTTTTTTTGCCATGGTTGTTAAGTGAATCGTGTTGATAAGCAAATCCAGCTTCCCCCATGTGATTTTGTTTGTTGGAAGCCAGCTGAGAAGATCACAATTGATAATCATGCGACTCCAGGATGCTGGAACCATCATAAATACACCCTAGTTGCCAAGCCCTTGAGTTTTAATCATGGGCCTGCTGGGACACTGTGATGGTTGCCCGTGCGAGGACCACTCATAAGTCAACTTTTTTTCAGTGGCCTCGTAACGTTGAACAGTTGTTACACGAATGGCCGTTAAGTTGAGGACTACCTGTACAACGAATGATGTCTTCTTCCCATACCCCATCTCTTATCTACAACCAAATCCTTAAAGCCTTGTCATTTCACTTCTGGTATCAGCCCAGGAGAGTTTTGAGTGCCAGACAGTGGTTCTCCATTTGAAGTGGGCTGTTTCAAGCGTTCTGAAAGCATTCAGAGGTTGAAACACAGCCAAGTTTGAAACAGGCCTGTTTCGGCTGTTTGAACACTGAACAGTTCCCCTTGAAGATTTGGCACACCGCTGGTCCAGACTCTGTTGTCTGTCTAAGCCAAGGGTGAGGAACCATGGCCCTTTTATTTATTTATTTATTTATTTATTTATTTNGGGGCACCCACAGAGAAGGCCCTCCCCCTGGGGGTCGCCAGCCGACATTGCTTGGCCGACGGCACCCTGAGGAGACCCACTCTGTGGGAGCGTACCGGTCTATGGGAGGGAATCTGCGGCAGAAGGCGGTCTCGGAGATAACCGGGTCCTATGCCATGAAGCGCTTTAAAGGTGGTAAGCCTTTTATGGCTTTCGGACTTCAACTCCCAGAATTCCCGAGCCAGCCATGCTGGAATTCTGGGAGTTGAAGTCCACAAGTCATAAAAGGGTCATTATTCCCCGCCCCATGTCTAATGCAACCAACCAAGATAGCAAGGGCAGCGTAGGCCGTAAGCAAATGATACCCGACAGTCTCAACCAGCTCAACCTTTGCTCTTCTCCTGGCTCCAGGTATCTCTATCTTCTGTTCTCTGAAGATGATGTGCTCTCCCTTCAAGACTGGGTGTTCAACACTGAAGCTCACCCGTTGCCTGTGAATCACACAGACTTTGTCCTGAAGACCAGCATCCAGTAGGAGCACCTCGGCCCTTCTGGGTTCCGCGAAGGGATCCCGAGGGGCTGCTTTTCCTTTCTCCTTTCTCCTTTCCAGTAAAGGAATGCACATATTCCCGGAAAGGTATTTTGGGGGCATTCGTCCAAATTCCGGACAGTATTATATCAAGGAGTATAAAAACTGTGAAACAAGCAACTTCATGGGGTTGTTGTTTTTTTTTCCTCTGTGAGGAAACGTATAACCTGATAATTGGATGTTGATTACGGGCCATAAGACAGAAAAAAAACCATGGACGTTTCTATGGAATCCACGGACTTTTCTATTGCGTGGCCAAAGGATCAGGAGTTTGCCATAAAATTGATGTCGGTTTTGTGCCACACGTTTTGCCCCAAACTTGCTCCCTCCTTTTTCATATACCGTTGATATATTTTTTTTCTCACCTTTCTGATCTATCCTTTAAAAAAAAACAAAACAGTACACCTCTTAAGTGGTCCTGATTAAAAAGTGTTTTTAAATCCCACCCGTTTCTTTCCTTACCCCTTTTCCTCATCCATTATTTCTGTTCTCTTCATCTATTTGCCAACTTTCTTTTCTTTTCTTTCTTTCTTTGATTTCCTGGGTTTTTGCTTGATCACTTTCCTTTGATTTTGGTATTCTTTTTTCATCTGGAGCAAAACCTTGTGAGGCATTTGTAATGATTTCATTTCTGTAATGCTCAGATGTGAAAAATAAAATAAAAATTCATGTCGGCTAAAAAAAAAAGATGTGTGGCTGGGTGGCGCGGAAGGTTAGAAAAGAGGCAGCCAAGAGGCAACCGGGGCCTTGGCGGATCCCCTGGTTTTTGGCTGCTGCAGCAAATGGAAACAGAAGGCTCCTACACTGCCTTAGAACAGCATATGCTTCAATACCCAAAGGGAGAAGACAGGATGATGGACAGAAGCCGGAGAGGCTAAAGGACGGAGTGGACCAACTGCATCTGCCTCTTGGAAACTGAGAATTTAATGGCCAAAGGGTGGATGTCAAAGCAGACAGTTGTACAAGTGGGTGAAGCTGTGTCTGCCGAACAAGTTCTGCCTATCTGTCTCACAAGAACTGTACTCAAGTTAAGCTGCTTGTGCTTTGTGATCTCTGGGCAGTCGACACAACACTTTGTGCCTGTGATCCTGATGCCTGGAAGTCGAATCTCTCCCAACACTGTACCCTCCTCCTTATGTTTTTGAGTACAGTTAGTCCTTGACTTACATCCACAATTGAGCCCAAAATTTCTGTTGCTAAGCGAAGCCATTGTTAAGTTAGTTGTCAAGCATCCAAATTTTGATCACACGACCATGGGAATACGGCAGTGGTTGTTAAGTGTGAAAAATGGTCATCGGTCACTTTTTTCAGTGCCGTTGTAACTTTGAATGGTCAGTAAGCAAATGGTTGTTAAGTCGAGGACTATCTGTACACTACCAATCATATATTTGTTTAATAAATTTATATGTTACCCATCTCACTATCCGAAGTGACTCTGGGCAGCTTACAGTACAATAAAAAAAATATAAAAACAGTTTATCAATATAAAAACAATTTAAAGTTACGAGAGTTAGAGACTAAAACCCGGGAACTTGAGTGGTGTGGAGATGGTGTTTTCTTTTACTCACCTTGAATAACGTCCCCTGCTAACGTGGATACCAGTCAATGAAGATGGTGGTTAAAGTCAAAATCTCTAGCAAGCATCAGGATGGGGAGGGTATGTTAGAAGTTGGTTGTGTGTATTCGTTGCGCCTCCTTAAGCTTTTCTTTTTCACAGATTTAACTGCACTTTGGGGGACTGGAGGCTAAAGCATATAAGGAACGGTTACTGGAATTGGATAGGTCTAGTTTAACGAAGAGAAGGATGACGGGGGACATGATAGCAGTCTTCCAGTATCTCAGGGCTGCCACAAAGAAGAGGGAGTCAAGCTATTCTCCAAAGCGCCTGAAGGCAGCACAGGAAGCAGCGGATGGAAACTCATCAAGGAGAGAAGCAACCTAGAACTAAGGAGAAACTTCCTGACAGTTAGAACAATTAACCAGTGGAACAACCTGCCTCCAGAAGCAGCGAATGCTCCAACACTGGAAGTCTTTAAGAAGATATTGGACAGCCATTTGTCTGAAATGGTATAGGGTTTCCTGGCTGAGCAGGGGGTTGGACTAGATGACCTCCAAGGTCCCCTCCAACTTTACTATTATTATTATTATTATGGATCATCGCACAGTCAGCCAGATGTTCAGACTGGATTTGGCATTTTGTCTACCTATCGAGTCCTTACCCAGGACCTGGGATAGGCAGATGTGGATGTCTGATGGTATTACAGATATCGTCGCAGGATGGAAGCAGTTCCTAGTCAGGCCGCCTTTTGCAATTGACTAATAGCGAATTTGTCAATGCCAATGGTGTTCAAGTGGTGCTCCAGTTGTTTTGGGATTGCACCCAAGGCGCCTATTACTATTGGTACTACCTTTGCTTGCTTTTGCCACAGTCTTTCTATTTCTATTTGTAGGACTCTGTATTTTGTTATCTATTATTATGATTATGATTATGATTATTATTATTCTGCAAAATCTTTTTCCTCTCTTTGTCTCTGCCATAGATGATTGTCAAGGTACTCCAATCAACTGATGCCTTTTTCTTTCTCCTAAGATTTTGATGGCTTTCTTTTTAGATTTAAAGAAGGAAGAAAAGCACTTAGAGCAAGATGCAAAACAGATGTTTCCTGTTGAATTTGCACCTCTTGAAGCCAAGGGGGTGGGGGAAAAGTCATACTGTCTAGTGCAGGGGTGTCAAACTGCCGGCCCGCAGGCCGGATGCGTCATGCCGAAACCGCGCCCACCCCATTGCTGGCAATGGCAAAAAAGTCGCGACACATCGTGTGACGTTGCAAGTTTGACACCCCTGGTCTAGTGGACCACTTGGAGATTTCATCTTTGGGATGAGAAGACTGGCGATTTCTGCCTAGGGGGATAGTTGCTCCTAAATAACTGCCTTGGGAACCTCGCATCAGATTGCAAGGTATTCCTATCAGGAAAATAAGCATTTGCCAAAATATTTTTTTAAATAGACCACTTACAGAATCAAAGACCCTTTTGACCTGAATCAAAGGGTATCGTTCCAGCTCCTTTTAGAATTGCCATTGAATTTTGAAGCACAGCGAAGCAGCATTATTTCTTACCTGTCCTACATTCAAATTGCACAGAATGCATCTGAAAGACCTTGCCCTCTCCTACTGCTTACATTTGGAGTACAGTATTCAAAGTTGTTCTTAAAGATGGAGGAAATATTTTTTTTCTTTGAAAGATGTATAACTTCCCTATCTGTGTGTAATAATTTGCTGCCTAAATGTATCTGACACCAGCAGGGGTTAAACTAGGGCCAAAGATGATTCAGGGCATACAGGTAATCCTCCCCACAATTGAGACCAGAACTTACAATGCCAGTGATGCAGTCATTAAATGAGTCATGCCCAATTTTATGACTCTTTTGCCACATCAAGCAAACCCAGCTTTTCCCATTGAGTTTGATTGTCGGAAGCCCCCTGGGAAAGTCGCAAATGGTGGCCACATAATCCCAGGACACCGGAACTATTGTAAATACATGCAGGTTACCAAGTGCCCAAATTCTGATGATGTGACCACAGGGATGCTGTGATGGTCATAAGTGTGAGGACCGGTCATAAGTCACTTTTTTCAGCACCACTATAACTTCAAACAGTCTTTAAACAAATGGTCATAACTTGACCATTTAACTGTTATCATTTTCTCTTCTCCCTGCTCTATCCAAAGCAAGTATCTCCCAAGGAAGGACATCAAAAATATAGTACTCTCTTCAGAATTCAAACTAAGATGCATTAACGGAAATCGGAATGAACAGTACAGTTCAACAGATAGCAACTTTGAACTCGATAATGAACTTGAAAATCGCCAGAGGTAATTTTTTTTTACTTCATTTAATCTAAGAATGACAGAATCAAAGTTGAGCCATTATTACATTTGGCAGCTAGAAATTGCAGACAATTTCCAAGGACCTTAGCTATTTTTGAAAAAGCTAAACAAGGTTAGAGATTACTTGGTTAGGAAAGCTCCAGAAAATCCCAGGGCATTGGGTTAGGCTAGTAAATCAATAGTAATCATCATCACCATCTTGGAAGAAAATCTGGCAAATCACTTGAAGATATTGCCAAGAAAACTACATGGTTTTATTTATGTAATCATCAGGAGCCATATAGAACTTGGAGAAGATTTGAACTTTTATTTTGAAATAGTTTTGCTTTATTCTTTCTGAACCAAGAAGATACAATTCAGTGAAGTGAAATCTGAGAGGTAAAGTGCATTCCCTCCTATATATACATACACTACATCTGGCTTATGCAGATCAGGTCAGTTTGCTTGGATCTTCTTTGAAATCCAAAGAAATCTTTACATGCTCTCCTACTACTACTGAATGTTGTAGCAGGCTACAGCCAGAATCTTCATTACAGCAAAGGGAGAGGAAAAAAAATGAGAAAAGATGGATGGAAAGAAATGAAAGAAATAGCAACTGACTTATGTTCTACCTTATTAGGAGAGTTGAAAGTATATGATTATTCTCTGGTTTTTAATATGGCAAATTTGTGACTAAAAGGTATGAAGAACGGTTGCAGGGTTTGGGAATGGCCAGTCTAGAGAAAAGCAGGACTAAGGGGGACATGATAGCAGTATTCCAGTATTTGAGGGGCTGCCACAAAGAGGAGGGGTCCATTTATTTTCTAAAGCACCAGAGGGAAGGACAAGAAACAATGGATGGAAACTAATCAAGGAGAGAAACAACCTGGAATTAAGGAGAACCTTCCTAACCGGGAGGACAATTAACCAGTGGAACAGCTTGCCTTCAGACATTGTGGGTGCTCCATCACTGGAGGTTTTTAAGAAGAGACTGGACAGTCACTTATCTGAAATGGTATAGGGTCTCCTGCTTGAGCAAGGGGCTGGACTAGAAGACCTCCAAGGTCCCTTCCAGCTCGATTCTGATTCTGAATAAGATACCACCTATCTCCAGTTTACAACTCAGCCCTTGCAGCAGTTCCAAGATGATTCCTCAACCAATTGCACCCTAATTCAGATGATCTGAGGGCACAGATAAACCCCCATGTGGCCTCAACAGCTCTCAGGAAGTGCTAACAACCAGATGCCTACATAGAAATAGAATCCTTCTATTCTTCCCCCACCATCCTATCAGAACCTATCCTTCCATCCTCCCACCATCAGAACTGATGAAGCTTCTTGAATGAGAAACAAAACATTTTCTTCTTCCTCAAGAAAAAAAAAAAGGCCAGTTGCCTTTTGGGGGGCAAAAAAAAACCACCTTTGAGATTTCAGTTGATTCTTACCCCTTGACGTTTTGAAATGCAGCTGCCAATTCAGTTGGAACAGCAGAACATACAAAGTGTAGTTATTTCAAACATATGTGACCCCCCCCACACACACACACAAAAGTCTGTGGTCTAACCAATATTCTAGAAGTGTGACCTGCAACATAGCAAATCATGCTGCTGTGCTTCAGTGAAGAGAAAGTATGTCAAACCGAGGGCACGAATGCTACAAGTACATCACAATTTATTGTATAACCTCTTAAAGAGAGAAAATAATGATGAAATAGCATAACTGTTTGGCATGCAGATTGACACACTTGTTCTAACAACTGTTGTTGAGAAAAAGACAAAA